CCTGCTGTACTTAGTTGAAACTGGAGCTGATTGGGAGAATTTAGGTGCCGCTTTAAAGGTTGTGTGTGTGCATATAGATATATATATATAGTTGATGGTAACTTAATTAGTTTCTCACTTGGACAGCTGAGTTTTACAGACTATAGTCCAAATTAAACAATTTATTTTATTTTTGTAGTCAAACAGGTGTGAAATTTAACGTTGCCTACTGGTTATATTGTGCAGGAATATTTGGCTGACTCTGACAGGTGTACTTTTTTTCCTGGGAAATCTGACCACTTGCTGCATAGTAAAATATTCAGTGTGTTTTCCCTTAACCTTTGATTTTCATTATGTCTGAGATTTTTTACACAGTGAGATATCTAAGATCTCCAGGAATGGTTGTCTTTATCTAATAGTAAAGCAAGACTAATTGGCTTTTGGATGGGAACCTTATATATCGATATCAATAAATATACTTATCAAAATAATACTTTTAGTTCAAGAACCGAATGGCTCATTTTCTGGAATAAAATCCCAAGAAGCAGAAGATGTTAGCAGAGGAGATTATTCATGAACAGCTTGTGTTTTCCATATATGCTTCAGAAGTGCTGGCCAAATTTGTGACATGCAGTGCTAGATTATCAGCTGTTTCTGATGATTTTCACCTATCATAGCTCAGAAAGCAGCTAACATTAAACTGTTACTTTTCAAGGTGGAGGAGACTTTCCCTGTGGGCAAATAAATACCTGTTTTGGTCAAGTTATTATACTTTCCAATTGACCAAAGGTTATTTATCTGTAAAATCAGCCATCTTTTTTAAAGGAGAATCTGCTGATAATCTCTGAAAATCTGGTAAAAAATAATACCTTAGTCTTTGCAAAGTGATAAGGTCGCCTTTTAAGAGCTGCTAGCTCAGAGTCATTCCAGCATTTTATTAGAAATAAATCTCTTAAGTATCTTGACTTATTTTTATTTGAATTTACAAAATTGCTTCTGACTTTCTTTGTGTTTCAAAGGTGTGAATTCTGTAGGTCTATTCAAAAAGCTTACGTAAAACAGTTAATTCTATTTACATTAATTTTCAAAATCATATACCTGCTCAGGAAGAACCAAGTTGATGATGTTGAAATACTGTGTTTAAACTACTGGTCTCCTAAGCTTTTTGTAGCTAAGACGAGTTTGATTATACCTTGAAAATGCTGGTGGTTAGTAGCTGCATCGAAAGATTTCTGTTAAAAGGTTTCTCACAGCTATATTAAAACTGAGGGACATCATGGCCTGTTTGCAGGAGGGAGGTGTGTGTGTTGATTTTTGTTTGTTTGCCTTTTTGTTACTATTGCTGAAGTCTGCAGGCACTTAGGTGAAATTTATATGTTTACACAGTCTTTGCTTGAATACAGATCTGTATGAGACACTTGCGTGAAGAATGGTTCCATCATCTTTGCTCTGGTAGAATCATCTCCCAGTTCCAGGAAAGGGCAAAGTTGGGGTACGCAGGTACACCACTTCCTTATATAAGGAACTTGTTTAAATAGCAATTGCCCACATGAGAGGACATTTTAGTACAACACGATTAGCCTGGAACTGAGTATGACTTTCCTGATGATCATAACTATGCAAGTAATCCATAGACCCTGTTTAAAATGGTTTTTTATTGGTTTATTGAATAGGTGAGTGGGAGGGGGTAATACACGTGTTTTTTCTTAAGTCTGAAAGCTTTATCATGTCAACAGAAATCTTTAACCACTGTGTATTTTTAATTTAGAAAAGACATAAAGCTGATAATGCGGTGAACAAGAAAGAAACTCAAGGTAGGAAATTTTTTAAAGCCTAGTAATTGTGATTTGGGGGGTTGTTTTTTGAATTTTTTGCAAATGGTAGTAATGTAATGTGAACTGCTGACAGGTAATTGAGGAGGAAATTGCTTATGCAGATTACTTCAAAGTTTGGAATCTAAACAGTTGAAATAACAATTTGCAGTCACATTGCCTCACAAAATGGAACATGTTCTAGATTAAGTTTATGAGGTTCCTAAGGAAGTTAACATTTACTCATTTAACACAGGTGATGCTGTAGCTGTTAAAAGATGATAATCACCACTATATTGAGTGGGTGTAGATTATGATGAAAAGTCTATGCATTTCTAAGTACACAAATCATAGGTTTTTTTCAACCAGCAAATCTTGAATAATTCGATTTGGAAAACTCAGCAGTTGGAAGGAAAAGTCATAAAATGGCACTATGCTGCTTCAAAACTGTGGATAAAGATGAATGGAGTTTTTTGGGTTTGCTTTTCTTTTTTTAATATGAAATCAGTGTAATGGTTTGATTAGAGATAATGAGATATTTAGCCAGTGTGCCCAAATCAAAACTTTGAGATGTGATGGGGGTTTTTTTCATTCTTTTTTTAAGATTTTAATAAAAGAAGTATGAAATCAGAGGATTATTTTAGCTCAGAAAGTGAGGGAGATGTTAGCTAATATGTCCTAAACACGCTTGTCTGGTAGAAAGTCAATTGAGTTCCCGCTTTGTTGCTTTTTAACTTTTTGTGTTACTTGTTCTGAAATAGGCCTCTCTTGATAGAGCTGGTCCTGTTTTCATAAACAGGAGGAGGAACAAGTGGCATGTGAATTTGATTGCAGAAAGTATGAAAAATACTACAAAGAGGAGAATCTTACATGGCATTTTTTTAAGTAAATAACAAATGTAACCTTAAGATTTTAGGGGGGGGATGTAGTCATTGACTAAAGATAATCAGAATTGTTTAGCACTGCTAACCACTGGAAATGTCTCTAATTTTAACATATAATTTTTAAAGTGTACCTAAATTGTACATAAATCTTAAAGTTTTTAATGTAAAATTTATGGGGGACAGGTGGGAGAAGATAACTTATGAAGCTACTGAGCATGTAGCTCAATAGGAGATATGGAGAGATTAGGACAGAGACACAAATCTATTGACTGCAAGTACTGGGAATAGAGATCTCCAGAGAACAGGCCTGGAGAAACCGATTAGCTCTTATCTATACATAAAAACCAAAGAAAACTTAATGTAGACATCCAAAATTCTTTCATCAATTATTTATAGCTCTTGAGATTGCAGCCAACAGTTTTAGATGGCAGTGAATCTCGAAGTGTCTTTTCAGTTTGGTTTTTTTTTTTTCCTTTTGTCCAGAGCGTATGAAGTTTTAAATTAATAAAAAATTTTCTTGCCTCTTCTCCATGGTTATGTCTCATTAGACTCTTTGGTGACTGTTCCTAAAATTCCTGAATGTTCCATGCATGTAAAAGAGCATCTTGGAAGTTGAAAGTGTAAGGAGGATACATACAATATTGCTAGTACTGAGAAGCAAGTTTCTTCAAGCTAATGCAGGATTCGCCTAAGTACAACATCAATCCTAGTGTACTGTCAAAGCAATGTTTAAATGTATTATCAAATATAGTCTACTGTCAAAGCAATAATTAAAAAGTTAATCAGTATGGTACTCTCTTACTTTGTTTTCATCTATTCAGCAGTTCTGTAACCCTGAAAAGTAGTGATGTGCTCCACCTTTGGTTGTCTTTTAAACATACGAAATTGTTAATGAAGTGACATGTGCGTGTATAGATTCTGCATATGGGTTTCCCTTTGTCTGTTCCTTAAGGTTAACTGAGATCTAAGTAGTCTTTAAGTAATTAACTTTCTAACATTCTATTACTATAAAAAAACCTTTTGCAGAGGATTTTCATTTATTAGGCTGCATTAGGGATTATTTTTGTTACCTCAGGCTGAATATATATGCAGCAGGACACCGTCAGACACTCTGACATGATGAAATATGCATTTCTGCAGTGTGGTGAAATAGTCTTCTATAGCGCAGATGGAGCATGCTTTTGGAAGGTAGTTGTTAGAGACAGCTGAAAAACGGGAGATACAAATGTGAAAGCCAGGCTCCATAAGACTTCAAGGCACAAATTCTCTAACTATTATATAAAAGGTGTTTAGCAACAGCACTTCTTTTTTTGTTCTCATAAGAAAATGGATTTAATTGAATGTTATTGTGTGTTAATTGTGTTTAAAAGCTTATTGGATCAAGCTTGATTTAGAGTACTCTTGAGATTTCATGTGTCAGCATGTTTTCGTGAGTCTGACTCATCCATTTGTGAGCTGATTTTTACCGGCTAAACCACCAGGAAACAAATCCAGAAAGAAAAGCTGACAGCTTCCTTCCATTTAGTGGGTTAAACTGGCTCATCAAAGGGTCCAAAAAACACCAGAGGCAGCCACATAGGCAGTGAGGACATGCACCTTTGCATGGGGTGAGGGCAGACCAGGACCTTCCCTTTGCAGTGACCATGCTATGCTATGTCAGCTTGGCTACATGTGAAACAGCCTTAGGATGTATTTCAGCAGTGCACATGCTTCTGCAGCCAGCACTTCTTAAGAAGCCCCTGGCAACCTCTGGCACCTTATTTACATTTCAGACCTGCAGAACCCCACGGGCAGTTATTCTACTGTAGCTATTTGTGAAACTTAGTTATCTGGATTGCTGCAGGGTATATTTTTTAATCCTTATCAGTTCTTTCATCTGGTTGGTACCATGGCCCCACAAACAGTATTGCTGACACAAGAGTATGGATGTAGGTAGTTGGTGGCACAATTATCAAATGGCTTGTGTTCCTTGGAACAGTATTACAACCAGTCCTCACTCCAGATCTGTAGTTTTCCCAGTGAAGGGAAATGGTTTGTCAAAATAGATTTTGTTTAATGATCAGCTGATTGGTGAGACAGTCATTAAAATACCTTGCTTACTGTCTGAAAGGAAGACTACTCCATTTACCATTGCCCTGAGCATATCAGCACTAATAAATTCGGAGGAAGGAAAGATAAGAAAATCTATGTCTTCCTAAAGAATTATTAAGCAGATTAGATAATAACTTACAGAAATTATTGAGATATACAAGAAGAGGGGTCAGTCTGGACAGAACCTCAAGGAAGACTTAGGTGTAAAGGCCATATGTATTACCAGATTTTGACCCACCTTTTTGAAATCAACACATGCTTGTGTAATAATTGGATCCTGATCAGGTGCTTAAGATAAGCATCCTGACAGTTTGAAAGCTGGGAGACACAGTAAAAAAGAACAATCTCTTGGAGCTATCTGAGTATTGATACATGGCAATATGTTTTCTTTTCATTTTCTTTTTGCACATCAATGTTCAGTAGCTTTGTAACCGGTGCTAATAAAAAAAAAAAAGGTCACCTTTATTATTCTCTGAAAACACAGTCTTGGCAATCAACTGGCAAACAAGCCCTGGTTTTTGTATCATAGTAGCAATTCTTAAAACTAGAGTAGTGGAGCATGCTTGCAATATTAATTACTGCTGCCAAGGAAAATCTGTACTAAATCTTACGCTAAATAGCATGGGTTGATTTTGGGGATTTCCAGTATATTTATGGAGGATATGACTGCAATGATCCTAAAGCTCTCTGACATGCCAATAACAGTAAGAACAGCTGAATCCTAAGACGACTGCTGGTGACTTTTTATTAACCTTTTCCGTATGAACCTCATCAATATTTGAACTGAGCAAAAATTCTTGAATTCCTGCCCACTTTCCCCACCCGCCCCCCCACAATTTCATAACTTTTTGACTTTTGAACTTTTTATTCCAATTACTAATTTATTTTGGAAAACGCCACATTGTCATACAAACTATATCAGATTTAATTGATTCTCAAACCCTGTAAAATGTTCTGATTGACTTTGTAATAAGATTCTATGATACAAAAACTGTTATACAGAATATGTGCTGTATAATTGAAATGCTTGATCTGAATTCATAGAAACAAGGCATGCTGTAAAATATTGTGTAAATGAACTGTGTCTGTATGGCTTTTCATAAGGAAATAAGGAAGCTTAACACATACTTGTGTATTGCAGTTAGGTTGTACAACTGGAAAATTATCTGTCTCTTTTCTTTTCTTCCCCCCCTCCCCCCTCCCCCCCCAGTACTACGAAATGGTGCATGGGAGATTGTCCACTGGGAAAAGGTGTGTGTTTGTATTGGTGACTTTTAGAGCATGTTGCTTTATTTCTCCAAATAATTGTCATTGATAAGAATTAACTGGTATGATGGGAAATGTATTCTCTTTTGTATTTTATTTTTTGTTTGTTAATACTTGTCTCTTAAAGTGTACTTTTAAGTCAAGTCAGTTTTGATGGCATGACTCGGGCAAAACTGCCATTAAATGGTGGGCTTTCAGTGAAAAGTTCAGTGAAAAGTAATGTGAATAATATGATTGACTTGGTATTCACATATGGCAAAATTATACAGTTCCTTAGTATTATTTGGTGTGCCAGGGCAGAAACTTCTTTCTGGAAACTAGTTACTTTGTCTGTTTGCTGAACTTCTTTGGTTTAACCCATGAAAAGTTTAAAGATTGTTACATGTTAGTTAGGAAGGGACTATTAAAGGTAACTTCCAAAGACTGAATGTTATGCTGTGTATCTAGTCCTTTAGTTTTATTCGTTTCCATACCTGAAAGCTTGGACAAAATTTGACCCACAGTCATTTGGAAGCAAGGTTCAGGTGAAATTTGTTTATACCTTTGGAGAAGTAAGGCAAAGGTATATAGCCTGATGCAACAGAACTGTGATCATGGGGGAGATTAATTTCTTCTTTAACTCAACTTCAGTCTTCCAGTAAAATATTTTACAATAACTAGCAAAAGTAAAGAACTGCATAGAGAAGGTCAGGATTAGGCCTATTAAAGAATTGATTTCCAAAGAATTCTAGTGACCTTTGAGTACGTAATACCTATAGGCTTCTTAAGTGTGTGAGTTTCTAACAGTCTTTCTAGCAAATTCAGCAGGTAAATATTTACTGTGCTTAAAACAAAGGGATAACAGATTTTGTTTGAGACCATTAACCAATTCCCAGTTTTCTTTCAGGTAGATGTTGGAGATATAGTTATAATAAAAGGCAAAGAGTATATACCTGCTGACACTGTACTGCTCTCATCAAGGTAGAGATGCCCACTGATGCTTATAGTGTAGAGGCTGGTTTCTCTACCCTGCATTTATTTATTTATATGTGATTGCTCCAAGGAAATAAGGAATAAACAAAAATGCTGCTGTTCTGAAGTCTTTTGTTTGTTTGGGCATTTATCATTTAAGACAGTGTTTCTTTAAACTGTGACAACTACAGTTTTAAAGTTACACTGGCATTCAATTTACTCCTAAGAAAAATTTAGTATGATGTTTTGTTGTTGGATAGAATACAAAAAAGGCTGATTCTCTGTCTAAAAATCGGACCTCAACTGCCATATGTAACAGGTTGGCTTTTTGATATGTACCTAACAAATTGCATCCTATAAATAAATGAAAATATTACCAGGAACAGAAATGGTGTTTAATGGATATAGTCACCAGTTTGATAGTTTATTCAGGGAAAAAAGTGAATATGAGATGTGAACCATCAAATTAGCACTGTCTTTGAGCTGAATATTCACCTTATTCTCTAATATATATTATTCATAATTTCAACACTGAAAGTAAGAATTTATAGCATGTAATGCTGTGACTTTTTTTACATGGACAATCAGAGGTTGTTTATCATCATTTCCTTGGACAGTTTTATTTAAGAAATCCACATCTTATGTGGAAGATGCACATTTTTCCACATCTATTTGATCAGGTCAATAGATAACGTATTCTAAAATTTTTTTTTTAATTATTTAAATATGATCAATTGTATTTTGATTTATTACTGTATGTTTACAATGCAATTTCCTTTTTTTTTCTGGCACAAGCAGAAGCATTATTGTTACGTGTAGGATTATGGATTAGATATAAATCCACTATGATCCCACTGAAGTTAATGAATCCACTCGTACATAAAATTAATAAGGTTAGGATCTGAAGCGTTTCTGTCACAGACTGTGGTGTAGACTAGTACATTGTTTATTCCATCTTTCATTATATCTCAAAATTAAGTGTAGCTGTTTTTAAAACACTTCTATTAAATTATTATCAAATGTAAAGTAGTTGTCAGATAATACTGTAAATTTTCCCCACAGTCTTCAGTGCTAAAGTTTGTGATAACTTAGATGATTTTGTATGGAGTATCCTCTATAAACATTTTACTTCGGCACTTTGAGAAGCATTTATAAATTTTATTGATGCTTCCCCACCAAGCTCTCCATAGACAATACACCATGCAGCAAGAACACTTGTTCTGTTGGCCTGATAATAGCTTCAGTCGTACTAACCCAAGTGTCTTGCAGGCAAAACAGATTACATCCTCTCAGAGCAGCTTCTTATAATCTTCCCCAAGTAAGCTCCTAAATTTGAGTCCTGGCCTAGATGTGTTCACTGTTTTGCCCTTTTGGATTTGGAGGACACTTGAGGAACTCAGGTTGTAGTTTACACACAGAAAAATACCAACTGCCTGCAAAGCCTTCTTTCTGAGCCTTGTCCCTGCTGAAGGGATCCTACATCACATGTTGATAAATTCAAATAATAGTTAGCTGCTACTGGACTTGGTCAGGACTGTTACCTCTTTGTTTAACCTCACTTTACTGCCCTTGTCAGAGCACACTGTCCCAGCTATGACCATTACTCACCTTGAGTTTTCCTGTCAGTTTTCTTCTACAATCCAGTTTGCAAAGGAGACTCCTTGAATTGTGATTGCTTTTCTGGGCCAAATTCAGGCATTTCATTGAGCTAAAACTCCTTTCTTAGTTATATTACCAGGGCCCTGTTGCAGCCCTCCTTCCAGGATGGAACCCTGTACTACTACATTACCTCTAATTCTGCCTGCATACTGGCATGTGCTCTCCTTCTCCACCTCTCATCTCCGTGTGGCCATGCATTCTCCAGGAAGACAGTCTCATTGATTTTGCTTTCCAGGTGTTTATTGAAACCTAAAATGTAATTGGGCATCAATAGCAATGCGAGCCTCTGGGTCTTGTTTAATTTAAACTAGTAGTATTTGGTTCTTTTTACCATCAATAGCAGTTTCTGGGGACTAAGAGGATCTTCGTTATTTTAGGGAACTGTAATCTCTTACAGTGGAAGGACACAAACCTCTGAGATTTAATTCCATTTGGTTTGTGCTAGTTCAATGTACATAGAAATATACAAAGCTGTAACAAAATACAAAATAATTTTCAGCATGTCCACGTAGAAAAGGTTCCTATCATCTGACTTTTCTGAAAAGTTGGTGGAAAATCTTTTCTTGAGGCTTTTATTTTTTTAATAGATGTGGATTAGAAACTTTGTCAGTTGAGAAATAAGCATAACAGCTTTTTGGTTTTGCTGTACAATGTCAATGTCTTCTGCAGCTTAAAATCGGTGCCTTACAGTAAAACAGTTCACTTGAGTAAAAATGAAAATATTCTAGCTCTTTTCTTTCTGACCTGATAAAAATAGATTTTGAAAAAATTGTCATCAGACATTTTAATTAACATGTGTCGTTTGTATAATAATTTCAAACTCTGTCTTTTTGTCTCTGTCCCTTTGTTTGGTTTTGTTTTTTTTTTTTTTTTTCCTGTCACTTATTTTTCTGTTCTAATAATTTTCGAACTGGGATGTGTAGGTGGCAGTAGGGGAAGTAGTGAAAGTGACCAATGGGGAACATCTCCCAGCTGATCTCATCAGTCTGTCATCAAGGTTAGAATACATTAGTTGCACAGGATACGTGTACGTGGGTCCTCATATACCAAATATGAAGAACACTGTCATGTTGATAATCTTTGCTTTGCTGTTCACCTTTCTTCAACAAAACCCACACATTTATAAAATTAGAAAGGGTTCAGTTGATAAAAGTACAGATTGTTAAAGTGTAAATACACGATAACACTCCAAGAAATGAAAATTTGTTTCAATACTCTGTTTTTAAACTATCCCCATGAAATTTTATCAGACAAGTTATTGTTGAATGAACACACAGTAAAATGCCAGGATCAATATGTGTTTAATTCCTTAGAGCAAATTAAGAAGAATAAACATGTTTAAACCAACCCACTGTTTTCAGCAAAGAATATAGTTTAATGTTGGTAGGACTGGTAGAGGACCCTCTGCACAAACTTGGATGTTGCACAATCTCTCCTGCATGTGATGGCAAAAGCAGCGCTATTCCTGTGTATTGTGACAAAATGCATGTTTCTTAGACACGTCAGCTTTATGCTATTGTCTGCACTGTTACCGCACTTTGTTTTTCCCTACCAAATCAATGGGCCTGCCTTGATCTATCTGTAACTTACTTTGGAGGTCACTGCTCTCTGCTACAGTAGTTACAATTAAGCATGTGTCTCAACTGAAATGTCATTGCTACCTTAGTCTGTTTTAAAAGTGCTTCACAAAAATATTGTTTGTTTTTTGTTAACTAATAAAAATGCTAGAATTGTAATAATGTTTTGTACAGGTGATTCTATCCAAACAATCTAAAGAGAAGTTATTTATGTTTTTAGAAAAGTTTGCCAAGAAGAAAATGCTAGCCTGGAAGCAATTTATGATAGTGATTTATCATATTTTAGTGCTTTTGCTTTACAAAAATGTGTTAGAATAACCTACTTAACTTTATCTTGCAAACATTCTAAGACTAAGTCATTTATCAGTAGCCACTGTTGCATTAAGAAATAAAATTTTAAGAAACACTTGATGCTTGAATTTCATGCTACAAAGAAGGAAAATATTAGAAGCTTTAAAGGGATGTAGAGAGTAAACCTTTATTCTTTTAAATTGTAAGGAGTTTTTATAACTCAATTGGTCCTTTACAGGCTCAAAACTTCTATCGTAGATGGAAGTAGTAGGTGCTCTGTCCTCATGCCCAGAAAATGGGAGCTGACTGGAGCAATTCAGAAATCCTGACCTGTTAGACCTGTTCTTGTTTACTGTCTACTTGCAGAAAAGTAATTTTGCCCTTCTGTATCTCTCTTTTCCTAGTTAACAGTTCTATAGTGGTTGTAATATGATTTAAAGTCTAAAAGTATACAAAATACAAAATTGCTGCTATGTTACACATCAAAAAATTGTATTGAAAAAATCAAATGCAAGGAATAAGCCATTTGTCAGTATGTGTCAAATAGATGTATGATTCAAGGAGTAATGTCCTGCATAAGCGTAAAACTTTTAGTTTATAAAAAAACTTTTTAAATTGCATAAAGAGGACATGTATTTCAAAAACTGTATTGTGTTATCCATAATTTAGTCTTTTTTCGTAAGAGAACCCTTTACAGGAAAACTTTCATGTCTAAACTACTGCTGCCTGCAGTAGCAGGCACTACGAATGCACACTTGTGCCTGTATTTTAATCTCATGTGAAAACATAGAAAACTTTTGCTGTGTGCAGCATTTTTAGCAGTGTTTCATCTAAGGAGATAAGTTTTAGCAAACTTTTCTGAAAATGTAAAGTACTCTTGGTCTTTACAGATTTGGCTGTAAATTATTCTAGTTCTGAAGATTTGATATGAAAAAGAAGAAAACTAATTGCATAAATAAGTATTAAAAGATTACAAAAAGGTCATGGATTTTGACATTGTAATTTAAAATTAAGGATTTTTTTTCTTAATAGTGAACCACAGGCTATGTGCTACATTGAAACATCTAACTTAGATGGTGAGACAAACTTAAAAATTCGACAGGTAGGAATTCGATTTTTAAGAATATTGCTAATTCTATTTTCATCTATTATTGCTTATAAAAACATATTTTATTACATTAATGGCCGTTTTAGAAGACTATGACACTTTAGTGGTTTGAATAAAAAGCTGCAGGTTATTGGCATCATAAAAGTTTTTGTTTTCATTAATAAAGCAGAAGGAATGAATGCTTACTCTTAAGCTGTGCTTTGTTTTAGAATTTTTCTTTGGGGAAATAGGTAGAAATGTTAGTACTTTGGGTATTGGTTTTGTTTTTAGAGGATAGATGAGGAAGAAGCCCTGCAGAAAGCAGCTGATAGTGCCAGTATTGTCCTTCAGGGTCAGGTAAGGAATAGCAGTTTTTGACTGAGTGTCTCTATGCAGGGACATTCTTGCTGAGCTATATGATTATTTATGACCTTGTCGTCATCATTATATTTTAAGATACCAAGGTGACTTTTTCACTGTCAGTAGCATCCAGCAGTGTGACTGCAAAGTGTAGCGGTCCCATTTTGCTTCCACAGGGATACTGGTTTTCTGGTCTTGCACTATCAGATTTATAATACATACATTTATGCATTGGGAAGAGATTCTTAATGTCATGACAAACAAATTTTGTTTTCAGGGTTTGCCACTAACGTCAGACATAAAGGACATAGAAAGCTTGATGAGACTTTCAGGCAGAATTGAATGCGAGAGCCCAAACCGACATCTCTATGATTTTGTTGGAAACATCAGGCTGGATGGGCATGGGTATGTAAATCTGAGGAAGAAGATCTCGGGAGATTCCATCTATCAATAGATAGCTATATGTTGTTAAGCTACTCAAGTTAAAATATGAATAGAAGAGTCTTTGTTCTGTTAAGACTAGAGAGGTAAATATCTTTTCTGATGTATTCTTTATTAGACTTTATTCTTTTTAAAAAGTAGAGGGATAAAACCTTACTTCCATTGTCTGCAATTTGAGTTTTTATACAAATTGACCTTGAGAAAGCAGTAGCTATTAATAATAGAAGGAAGTGCTAATAAAATTCTAGTCGTTCTGGAATATATACCTAGTAGCTCACTTCTTAAACATCTTATTCCTTGCCTGTTAAGTTTCTATTATAGAAGCTGAATGGAAGTAATTTCTTGTCTGGTTTTTTTATTGTTGTTTTCTTCTGTTTGTCTAAGTCTGGACTAGAATTGAGTCCATTGCTATATATCTCAAATTATTCTAATTTGGTAGCTGAAAGACATTTAATACCTTAGCTTACTGAAAATATGTTTTTGTAAAAGTAGACCTCCTCAGTGCGATTACCACATACATGCTTGTAAAACTGCTTCAAAAATTCTTAAAATACTTAAGTGCTTACCAAATATTGGTGCTTGGAGTCTTCTGGAGGTTCGAACTGAAGGTGATACATTAAGAGTATAAAATTCATTACCAGATCCAGCATTATTGAGTCGTTGATTTCCAAAGATTTGAGGGATTTCTTTTTCATTTGGTAGGCATTTATTTCTCCATATACAATATTATTCATGTTTGTGGTTTTAGACTGATATATATAGTACTAACTAATGACTAAATACCTTTTTTTTTTTTTAATATTCCATTTTTTATTTACTGATTTCTTACAGATGCATTCCGGGAGTTTTCAGTCGCAAGAGTGTGCATCTATTATAATTCCACCGTACTTGTCGTTAAGAAGACAAAAACATTTACCTGTAATTCTTCTCTGAAGGTAATAGTTATAATAGATCCACACATTCATCCTTTCTCCTTGGCTAGAGGGGAAAAAACATACTTTTCTTTTCAATCTAATTATTTAATTTTAAAATTTGATTTTAAAAAAGGAACATTGAATGTGCTGATGGCTGTTATGCCTCAAGAATGTGTAGGAGCACGCCATCTGCTGGTGCAGCAATTTGTCATTTGAGAAATTCAGTTTTGGAATATTTTGAATATAGTTCCTGTGCAGTAGGTTAGTTCCAAAAGTGTGGCTCTAATATAATATTTACCTTCAGTGAAAAAGAATTGCAGGTAAGTAACTCTTTTTGGGTCCTGACCCGTTTTCCAACCTGAAAAATCAGGGATGAATTCTCTTTCTACCCATATTAGAGGTAGCACAGATTCATCTAGATGGTATTTATTTATCCAGATCTTTTAAGACCTTCCTACCAGACTATGTAGATCCAGCAGTTGCAATTTCCACTTCATCCACTACCATCTGCAAAAACAATAGAGGATACTGAAAATATATCTCCCTCTTCTTTCTTCTTTCCCTTTAGATAACTCATTGGAGTGCCATAGACATTCTATCTGGTTGACCTTTTCAGTCTTTTCTTTTTCCCTTCATGAGAAAGCAACTCAAAAAAACATAGATTCTCTCTTTTTTTTTTCTCTTTTGAATACTCAATATTCAAGGAAGTAGAACTCCACTACAGTTATTTTGGCTTTTGTCTAAATCTGTGGACTAAAAGAGGCCAAAAAAGTTTTCTTGGTATCCTCAGCTTTCGAGGGAGTTAACTCTTACTTCTAAAATGTGCAGCTCTGTGTTATGCTCATGAATATACAGAAGCATGTCAGCTTGGTTTTAATCAATGAAGAGAATTAGCTAGAGAAAGGAGAGAAGTTCCTTTAACCTGGATAAATTTGAAATTATGATCAGACAATGACTCAGAGAAGAAGGGTGAACAAGTTAAAAATAAGGGCAGATATTGGTTATCCAGACCTAAAGTAAATGTTTTCCTGAAGACATTCTTAAGAAAATTTTGGATAGGAGTGAAGTATGCGTGTTAAGAAAAACATTTTGGCATGTAAGCTTTTAAATGTGTCTTAAAAACTACTCACTCTTAATATACACTTGACAGCACTAGCAGGAAATTATGCTGAAAGGGTACTTCCTCATTGTATTCCCCATACTGAATACAAACCAGCTATGTTGCTGAGGAGTCATTGGTTATGTAGCATACAAGAAGAATAAGGTGAGTTGGAGCAGTTTTGAGAAGGCCGAGGCCAGGAAAGAGAGACTTGAGAGCTCTGCCAAGTCGTTGCACCATCACCTCATTAGAGAGTGGGGTATGATCACAATGTTGAGGATCAGTAGTGTGACACCTGGCAGATCTGGGCTTTTTGTGGCTCTGGTTGTTTTGCTGTGTGTTTTCACCTCCTTGGTCTGTGCACCAGTTTTGCTGGAGACAGTTCCTCCTGGCTGCAATCCCAGTTCTCTTCCAATTGTCTTCTCAATAACAGACCCTTGAGGATAAATTCCTGTCCCAAGTTGGAGAATAGTATCCATTTCAGAGCCAGTGTCCTGATGGAAAAAAGAACCAATGAATCCTGCAATAGAAATTACTTTACTGCATATTCTTCACATTTCTTAAGAAAGGAAAACAAAGAGGAAGATCAGAAAGTGGCAGGAAGAGTCTTAGAACTCACCTGACTCTTCAAGGAGTACAAGAATTAAGAGTGGAAGGTTTTGACTTCTGTCTTCCTAGACTGTCTTGTAGAAGGGACAGAAAGTCTTTTGGAATTCCAGAGAAGGTCCATGGTTGAAAAGATTTCCAGTTTGTCTGGGGGAGACTTGCATATAACCAGATAAAGTTATTTTTCTTTCATCTCCTGTGACATTCATATTAGTGTTAATAGAGTAAAATATCTAGTTATTCTTTGAATGACAGGTAATCCATTCCTTAACTGAAATACGTATTGTGCTGATGCATGATCCAGAAGTCTTAGAATGATTCTGATCAAGGAATGCAAATAAATAAATATAAGTGCAGAAGCAATCTTTGACAACAGGAGTCTCTCTTAATGATTCTTGTGTGATTCAAACCCCAGCAGTTCCTTTCATACTTGACAGGACATTTATTCTCTTAGTTTTGCCATGATACAAACACATCTCAAATAGAAGAGTAGCACAGTTCAGATTAAGAAAGCAAGTATATTTCAGTATGTTTTTCATTTCAGTTTTCTTTTCCGATTCCTTCTTTTGATGAAGTGCATGCAGCTCAAAGTTATTTTTCATGGCAATGTCATTCAGCGCTTCAGTTACTGAAACATACTTAGTTGATGGGGAGAATGATTCCTTAAACAGTCAGTATGCTCTGTGCTAGTTTCCTGGAAAATAAGTGGACTAAGTTGTTGTAGGGTGGTTTTTGTTAGTTGATTTTTGGGGAAAAGCACCCAAATATTTTTCCAGATTAAATTTTTTTTTCTCTTGTTTCTGCAATAACTGATTCCAAAACCTGTATTGCCACTGTTAATTTTAGGTAAGGAAGAATGTGTTGTTTGCTCTTTACTTGCAGTCTTTGAATCTTAAAAGTTCGTGTGTGAAAGGAGGGAAAGGGGACATGACAATCCAGAAGAAATTATTACCTGCAACTTAACTTTCGGACTGATTTTATGCTCTTTATGCTACCAAAAATGTTACCAAATATCATGGCTTCCTCAGACTCTTTACAGCTTATATATCAGAGATATAGTTGCTGTCGTTAAGCAGTTTATTTGTGATCTTAATAATGTGTTGGTTTCAAACAACTGTAGAGATAATAGTTTCAGGTAAGAATGCCAAACACTAGAGTGCTATTGACAAATCTGAACTGCTGGTTGATATCTATAGACAGATAAGTGCCAAAATAAGGTGTTGTTTGTCCCAGGAAAAGAGTGATAATTATCTAAAATTTTATGTTTTAAGAAAAAACTGAGCTGCTGTATATGTATAGATTAACTGTCTGAATTTAAGACAGTTAAATGTTTCCAATGTCTTTTGAGGTTTTCTTGCTCATTTACTTAGTGCAGTTCTAAAAGAATAACACAAGTAAATTTACGTGCTTTTGCAATTTAAAGAAGATGCAGGAAATGTTGTTGTGAATTCTAAGTAGTTAGTCATGTCCATAAAGGATATTTATTTCACTGGAAGAGTGGATTAAGTTGAGAGTTCAGAAAATTACTTCATTTGAAAATTGCTTTGGAAAGTCCATTTTGTAAGAATATACTTAGGAAAAAGCTTTGTAATCATAAATCACAGGAAAACTAGCCATTTTTTAGTTTCAATATGCTTGCTTAGTAGTACCATAACAAAATTAGTAATCCATAGTCAAAATTAAGTGGTAAGTAATGTTTTTGCAAACTTAAATTTTTGGACTTGCGTTTAGCTGTCAACTTCTCTCTCTGTCAACACTCCCAAAAAGTTAACTATGAATATTAGGTTCCTAGAATATTTAGAATAATCATCTAAATTTTGAGAAATTAATTTTAACAGCTGCTGGTTACATTTTTTCATTAACATTGATTGTTTTAATGCTAAAATATAAAACTCCTTCTTTCTAGTACTGTTCCATTGGGACCTGATCAGATTCTTCTACGAGGAGCTCAGTTAAGAAATACGCAGTGGGTTCATGGGATAGTTGTCTATACAGGACATGACACAAAACTTATGCAGGTTTGTCACTTGGACTTTCACTAAATTATCTGTTTTGTTACCTCATTATGCTGTTAAACAGCACAGAAAATCCTTTCAGAAAACATGGCTAGAATCAATATAGTAGTTAAAATGTCAGTAATAGAGCATCTTCCGTAGGAAGTAAAGCCAATAAAAATAAAGCAATTTCTTCTTGTTAGTAGTCATTTAGCCACAGAGTAGTTTTTCCACTAGTAAGCGTATTTTTTGATTCTATTTTGTAACTTGTGTTTTGAAAACTATTTTATTAGCAAGTTGGATCATTATAGTTTGCCTGTTCATCTTTTTTTATTTTTGGGTGCTCCTAAAACTTTCCTCTTGTGGTGCTTTCTTTCAAGTACAAAAGTAAGCATTCTTGTCGGAAAACAAAGTGAAACTTTATTTGCAAAATGAGGAGGGAAGGGAACCATTCTCAGACTATGAAATTAGTTTTCCTAGTGCTGTTTGAAATAGCAGAACTGAAATGCATTGAATATCAAAATTACATTTGAAATATCAAAATTGAGAATGCTTTCAGATTGTTCATGCATGTCTTACTGCTTTTCTGATTTGTAAAACGTTACTTGAAAAAGTTTGTATTAGCAATTGTCTTCTATAGCACTGATAAGGTGTATGCGCATTCATTTTTAATGGTTACTGTTAGCTATTGCTGTTACAAGTGTTCTGTGTGATTGTTTAAACTGCTTGTGACAAATCTAAAGCTCTAATTCATAGATTTATAAACTGCTTCTTTTTTTTTCTTTTGAGTGAAACAGTTATGCCATTTATGATGATAGTGTATTTGGAAAAATGTTTAGAAAAGGGTGCAGTGCCATGTAATATGAAAAGTGAGAACTGTGTGTACCTCTTCTAGTATTTAATAGCCACTGTTGGTTTTTGTCTTTTGCAGAATTCAACAAGTCCACCTCTTAAAATGTCTAATGTGGAACGAATTACAAATATTCAGATTTTGATTCTGTTCTGCATCCTTATTGCCATGTCTTTGATCTGCTCTATTGGTTCAGCTATATGGAATCGAAGGCATACTGGAAGAGACTGGTATCTTGAGCTAAATTGTAAGATGTAAAATAATATATTAATATTTTAATGTTCAGTTGTCTTTCATATTTGGAAAGGAGGATGATCACCATCCTTTACACAGCGTAGGTTTTTTATCAGTCTGTCTTTATTGGCTGTTGACTGAAGTCATTAGGCTAGGTATATCACAGCAAGTATAAAATTTACCTTACTGTGCCATGTGAACTGTTGCTAAACTCAGGAAGGGGAGCTTTGTTGTTTGCCTCTACATCTTTCAGCCTCTGCATCCCTGCAGCTCAGCAAGGTCTGTATCAGCATTCCGCTGGCATAAACAGTCAGCTTCCTAGACATTAGATTAAAGCCATTTTCAGCTATTACCAATGAATCACATTTAAAGCTGCAGTGACTTTTCTGAAATTTGAACTCTCTCATCCCAGGAAATGATGCTGTGCCTTTATAATTTTTACTATTTTACTATTTAATTTTTTTGTTGTCTATTATTCATGTTTTCAGAATTTCTTATGGTGGGCCTAGAGCCACTTTTACTTACGCAATAGAACCAGAACTAGGCTTTCTGCTCCTGAAACAAGAGTCTTGAATACAAAGCTGCTGAATGTAGTCATCAAAGTAGGGAGTATGGCGTGGTTTGGTCAGTTTTAAAAGAAAAATCTTAAAATTCTGATTTGAAGGCACTCTATTATAAAGTTTCTGTGTAACAAAACAGTTGTCTGCATATATGATGAAATTCTGTTTATTGAGGACCTTGCTTCTCTTCTTCTTGGTGCTGAGGAATAAACTTTTTTGTTTAAAGGAAGAAACAACTTTCATATTTCCATTGTGAGGTGGAAAAAAGTGAAATAGTTAATGGGAATATTGACAGTTTCCAGTAACATAAACGGATGGCATTAGGTGTGCTTCATCATTTGTTATTTTTCATCTGATTCTTCTTTGCAGTGCATTTTTTTTTTCTTTTCTGGGAAATGTGAAAGTTTTCAGAATATGGTGGTTAGCACAGTAGTGAAGCAGTTCAGAAGCTTTTGTTTTTATTGCTGAAAAAAGAAACACAAAATAGCGGCCATTGATATTTTGTGTGTTCTTTGAGTGATTATCCTTGTCAGTTTATTTTCTGATATATACCCATGATTCAATGAAATTGTGTTGGGTTTTGTAAGGTATGCCCTTTAAGGCTGTATTCAGCTCATAGTTGTTCTGGGTACTTTTAATATGTAAGAAGCCATTTATTTCCCTTTCTCTTTAGTTATCCCCATCTTTCTGAATGCTGTTAGTATTTAGTTAGAACATTTTGTTGCCTGATTAAAAAAGTGGTAATGTTAACAATAAATATCTGAATATTATTGTATTTACAGATAGCAATAGGTATCAAGCTTCATTTAATCTTGGTAGTCTTTATTGAGAATATCAATGTCATGATGAATGTTAGCTCACTGGTCTTTTAGACTTGTACTTCATTTGATGCTGGAATTGGTATTAATGAAGATATCCAAAACCTGCTGTCTTGGATCTTAGAGTAACAACCAGATTCACATTCCATAGGCAGTGGAAACCTGTCTGAGGCTGTTTTTCTTTAAGAGATCTTTGAATACAGACAGGCAGGCTATGTCTTTTACCCTTTTGCTGTACTGGAGAGCAGACTGCTATTTCCCATTCACATCCTCTCTGAGGTGCTACTAGTGGAGTTATCTGAAACTTTAAAAGGAAAAAGTAGTATAAAACTGCTTGTCACATATGTTAATACTCACATTCCAGTTCTTTCAGAACTTTAATTAAACTCTCTAATTTCATCTTTTCATGGGGTGTGTATTTACCTTTTTCAAAGTATTTTCCTGGGTTGAGGGGGGACATAGGAAGGTGTGAGGGTGAATAGAGAAAAAATTCATTCCATTACACATTTCCTCCTTTAAAAATATAAAACTCTAAAATTTAGAGTTTAGAATTTGATTGCTGCATAAAGATATTTCCAAATTTATGATCTTAAAATGTAGCAAAAGAGGAAATGACTAGTAAGTTTGCATTTCAGAAATTAGAGAAAATGGCAAAGATCTCTAAACTTGAACTCCACTTCATGATAGAGATCCTTAACTCTTATGAAGGTCGTATTTATAGGCAAGTGATATTGTAATTAATTCTCAAGTTTTGTTTTAGACACAGAACATTTTAAAAATCAGTTAAGAATACACTGTATATACATACATACTTTTGAGCGTGGTCCTAAATGTTTTTTGATTTGCTTTGTTTTTTGGCAGATGGTGGAGCAAGCAACTTTGGATTGAATTTCTTGACTTTTATAATTCTCTTCAATAATCTTATTCCAATCAGTTTGTTGGTTACGCTTGAAGTTGTTAAATTTATCCAGGCATATTTCATAAATTGGGTAAATATTATTTTTACAATATCCATTGACTTCTAAAATCAAGTGGTTTACAAGTAAGTGAAATGATTGATTGCTTGTTTATGTATACATTTTTTTCAGACTTTTTCTTAATGTAAATACTTAAGTATGCTGTTCACTTATTATTACTGGAATCTGAGAAAGTAATAATCAATGGTTTTATTTAGTGCTTTTATACCTGCACCAAATTGCTTTTTGGAACATATTTTTATGTGCTTTGTACTTTTTCATTATTAAAATTCAGGTATCAGTTTCATCCAGAATGATCAGAAGAAAGTGTTTTGCAGTCCCGTGGAGTTGTGTCCAGTTTCATTTCTTCTTTCTAAGTGTAGCCCATGTCTTATTTTTTGGGGGTTTTGGCTGATTTTTTTTTTTTTCATTCACCACCACCACTACAGTTTAATGGGGTTTTTTGTACAAAACCAATGTCTGTTAGTGTTATCTCTTACAAAATATGTAAAGATTGTTTTGGTGTCCTTTTTTTTTTTTTCCTTAATGAATTAATGGGGGAAAAGAAGGGTTTACTTTGTTTGGGGTGGGAGTGAGGTATTCTCCTTAAAACCATGTAAGTGCTTTTAATAACATACCTTCAATTTTTCTGTTTTTTCCAAATATAAATTAATCATACCATTCTGAAATCTTTAATCTGATTCCTTGATCAAATGTGTGAAATAGATTTGTGTGTGTGAGAGACACTTTTATCTGTATCTGCATGATATCGTATGTGGAGCAGCTGGAGTGTGTACTTTATTTTAAAAGTTAAATCTTTTTGTGAGCAGTCAGCTGTTTTTGATTTCTTTATTTCTTTTGTGCTATAGAACAAATTGTTGACAAATAAGAGAATGCGATTAAATTCTTCCTTTATGTTCTGTGTTCTAAAATAAATATTCAACAAAGGCTTACCCATTTTCAATATGTAGATTGGGAACTGTTTACACAACAAATCTGAAAGACAGTTTTAATTTCTGTTGTATGTGTGTCCCGTCCCATCCCCCCCCCCCCATTTCATGTCATGAGGGATTAGTTGTCTTCAATTTATCTTAATCTAAGACTCTGGACATTTATCTTAAACATTATCTTTGTGTGTTTGCACATCATATTGGTATAGAGAAGTTGGTCATCTGCAATCTGTTGCACTACATTGCCATACTTCACGATGTTTTAATCTTTTACTGTATTTGAAATGAACTCTGATTTATTTTTTAATTTTTTTTAACAAGTGAAAAAACAAACCCACAAAACCAAAAATAAACACAAAACCAAAAATAAACCCAAAACCAAAAAACTCACCACTTATAATATACTCTAAATTTATTGTGTACTCTTAAATTTATCTTCGTGGCTTTATCTCATGGTATATTTGTGTTGCTATTTAGAAATGACTGGTTGTGGATGCAATATAAATAGATAAGACTGACTTCTAAGTGTTACAGTGTAGTATTTCTGCTTGTTGCTATGTCTGTTTTAGATGCATGGATATAGCAGTTTTTCAATAATACAGATCACTGGAAACAATGGGAGTAAAATCTGTAAGAATCATATAGATTTTTGTTTTAAAGAGGAAATCTAATTTCTTCTGGGGACTCTTGGAAGTGATCTGATTGTGTCTGTGGCCTCCCATGTTGAAATAATCATAAGTAGATAACTTGTATTCATGTTCAGTCTGCTCTTCTACACTTAACTATTTATGTACTAAATTTTTTTATAGTAAGTTATGGAAGACTAATTTTTAAATATATATACTTTTTTTTTTTATATCTGTAGGACATAGACATGCACTATGAACCTACGGACACTGCTGCAATGGCTCGTACTTCCAATCTCAATGAAGAACTTGGACAGGTAGGAAAAAATTACTGGTTCTAACTCTATGTATTGAAATTATTCATGTAGTTTTATGCTCTAAATTATTTAAATAATGTAGGGATTTATTTCAAAAAACATATTCTTGCCTTAGTCTTTGCTTATTTCTATTCTTTTCATTTTGTCCGATATTTTTAAAAACACTGCAATATGTGGGAGTTAAATTTTTGAAACCAGTATTAAATGAACAAACACTGCTTTATGTATGAATGTATCAAAGGAGGTTGAAGTGTTTTGTTCAAGTTACAAAATGAGAGGTATTCTGAGCATTAGGGATGTCTGTGGCACAAAAATTTAGTCTCTGTATATGCACTAGGATAGTATGCATCTTTAGTATGTAATTTTTTTTCACGCACTCTGCCTTGCTCAGAAGCGACAATGGGTTTGCTCTAGGATTGAGTCATGGTTGTATACATTCCCTCTTTTTTTTCCCACTGAAGATTAGAAGTGGCGAATGGAACAGGGCTCACAGCTGATTTAAGGCCTGGAAATTTAGGCTTAATTTTTCATTTTGCTTTACAGTTCTCTTATAATACTGTAAAGTCAGTTAGGCTTTTCGTAAGAGATCGCTTATTGTGATCTTCTTTATTTTACAGAAGTATGACTTTGTAGAAGTGTGTCTGGGGCACAGGGCGTGCTTCCAGAGCACTACACATTATATTTGCTGTTTCAGCCAATTGTATTTGCAGTCTTGCTTTAGAAACATGCTAAACATTATGCTTTCTGTTACACTGATTGGTAATGATAAACTGATTCTGTGGGGAAAAAAAATTTTTGCTCATATACTTGAGCTGTATTATATGTACAAGTATACATATTCTTGCATTTCCTAACCTAGAAGTTTTTGTAACTAATTGTTTGGTTTATTGCATGGGAACGTAAAAGTTGGGTTTAGCTTTCCAAGAAGAATAAATAATAACTTAATTTTAGCCATGCAGCGAACAGGTCTTCTGAACTAATACTTAAGAGATCTGCCTTTTGTGAAAACAGTAGTTGCAGTTTAACGTATTCTAACATTGCTGTACATGGAGGAGGACTGGGCCCTTTGCCTGCTGGCTTTAAGAAGTACGTGCAGATAGTGGAAAATTTCATTCTCTTCCTGGCCTTAAAAGGGAGTACAAGTTCCTCAAGTGGGGAAGAGACTCTGTTGAATCTTAGCTTTCCTTCTATCTGTTTTTTCTCTCTCTGCTATTAGTTAGTTATTCACATTCCCAGACACAATTCCCTCTTTTTGACTTCAATAGTTGTTGTCTTCATTTCTTAAGTTTCTCATCAAGGTCTCCTTCACTACCAGGATCTAGTCAGACTTCTTGGGATATCCACTTTCACTTTTTTGTCAGATTCTTAATTTGAACAGATTTTTTTCTAGGGAGACCAAAGGACTCTCTGCTAACAAAAAGAGCAGATCTCTTCTTTGAAGTACACGAGGGCTGCACATAATGAAGAGAGATTTCCCCCGAGAGATCTTCAGGTTTTAAGAAAGTAAAAACTTTGGTGTTTGAAAAAAATGTTGAGTTTTCTTAGCTGCAATTCCTGCTTTTCCATTTTGCCCACACAAAAAAAATACAGTTTGAGTATAAACCTGGCATGGAAGATTTCTTCTAACTGCTGATTTGACTAAGTTGTAATCCCTCAGAAACAGAATTTTTAAACAGGATATACTGACTAAATTTTACTAATACATAGCCTTATTAGCTCCATGTATATTGCAGTTAATTCCTAATTAAGAATACTGTGATTTTTTTTCTTTAATGAGGAAGAAATTTTAATGAATTAAAGTTGAAGTTTACCTTTGACTAGTAGTCTTTGTTTTATCACAGACGACTTCATTTCTTCATATATCAACTTTTTTCTTAAGACTAGGTTTGAACTAAATTTAAGTATATCCCAGATAAATTATTTTAAAAATTGAAGCTGAAATACATGTCACTAGTAGTTTCTGGAGAGGAAGGTTTTATGATGTTGGGGAAATAGGAGACCTGGAGCAGGTAGAAAGGAACCAGTGTACCAGTACAGGCTAGGGGTTGACCTGCTGGAGAGTAGCTCATCAGAGAAGGACCTGGGAGTCCTGGTGCACAAGAAGTTGCCCATGAGCCAGCAATGTGCCCTTGTGGCCATGCAGGCCAATGGTGTCTTGGGGTGCATTAGGAAAAATGTGACCAGCAGGTTGAGGGAGGTTATCCTCCCCCTATACTCTGCCCTGGTCAGGCCACGTCTGGAGTACTGTGTCCAGTTCTGGGCTCCCCAGTTCAAGAAAGACAAGGAACTACTGGAGAGAGTTTAGCGGAAGGAGGACAACAAAGATGATGAGTGGACTGGAGCATCTCCGTTATGAGAAAGGCCGAGGGAACTGGGTCTCTTCAGCATGGAGAAGAGAAGACTGAGAGGAGATCTCATCAATGCTTATAAATACCTTAAGGGTGGATGTCAAGAGGATGGGGCCAGGCTCTTTTCAGTGGTGTCCAGCGACAGGTTAAGGGGCAGCAGGCACAAACTGAAACTCGGGAGGTTCCATCTGAATATGAGGAGAAGCTTCTTTACTTTGAGGGTGGCAGAGCACTGGAGCAGGCTCCCCAGAGAGACTGTGGAGTCTCCTTCTCTGGATATACTCAAAACCCGCCTGGACATGATCCTGTGCAACTTGCTGTAGGTGACCCTGCTTTGTCAGCGAGTTGAACTAGATCGTCTCCAGAGGTCCCTTCCAACCCTGACCATTCTGTGATTCTGTAAATGTATTTCCTCTATTCCTGTGACTTGGTATTTCTGAACTGTTGGAATTTTACTAATGTTTTGGCTCTGAGAAGATACTTCTATGTCAAAAAGAGGGATGTAGAAATGCATATAGATATTTTCATTTTACCATATTGCTTTCTGTTAGAAGTGGACTATTTTGCTAGCAAAGCCATTGGTCTTCACTAGTTTCTTGCATTTCAACAATATATAGAGTGAGGGATAGTTAAGTATACCACCGTGTGCTGAAGCAGGCTTAAGCTTCCTGACATCTCCTTTAATTGATATGTTTGGAAATGTGTACCAAGACTGTGCATCTGCTACATTTATGTTGTGGGTTTTTTCCTCTAAATTATGAAGATTGCAGAACTGGTAAAAATATTTACTGTGTTGACAGTCATGAATTGTACTAGATATGTAAATAACTGCTGAATGTTAATGTATAATGAGTTTTATCGTTCATTTAGGTCAAATACATATTTTCTGACAAAACGGGTACCCTGACATGTAATGTCATGCAATTTAAGAAGTGTACTGTAGCAGGAGTTGCTTATGGGTAGGTATTTTTATATACTTTTATTTATCTGTGTGCCTTTCTTTTTCTTTACCTGTCTGTATGTACACATGCATTAATACTACAGGTAAACTTACACCTGGCAGTATCTACAACTAGGAATCTGTTTGTGACTATGAAATCTTACTTTGGAGAGATATCATCACTTCAGTCACGGCATCTCTTTTTGCAAAGAGGAACAAAAATAAAGTTTAGATACCAAAGGCTTACTGCTGTAACACAACTTCAGTATGCATGTTTTTGCTATTGTTCAACGTGTTTAATGTTATTACTAAAAAAAAGTTTTACCTCATACTTTCAAAAACTTGTGTCATTGTCTATGCTTCATATATTATGTAGGCACATGCTCTTGCACTAAATAGTATGCAGGATGAACAAGAATTTGAATTACAGTAGTGTAGCTTGAACTACAGTACTGTAGCCACCATCCAGGTGGTTTTTAGGAATACTGTTACAGTGGCATAACTCCAAATACCAATATCTATTAAGAAATCTCTCCAGATCCAGGCAAACAAAGCATTTTACTCTTTCTTTGTCAACAGTTGCAGCCAGCTGCTTCAACAGAGTTCATAAAAGCCTCAAACTTATAAGACTATTTACTTGGGGGAAAAAAAAAAAATCGTTAGAGCAATAAATAGAGCAGAAGCACCTACATTGTAAATGCCGGTGTGGCTTACCAGGATGTGAGATGCTGGACCTGGGCCGGTCTCATTAGCAGATAATTAGACACCCTAGAACTGGGCATAGAGCATGCAGAGGTTGTGAAATTAAATCTTGGACTTGTGCTAAAGGCGATGATTTGGCTTTTGTGGCTTTGTCATTTGGATCTCTTGGAAAATCCTAATTTTTAGGAGTCTAATCTAGACTTTCTGTTTTGAAAAAACTTAGATCATTAATGCATTAACCATATTGATATAACACAGTTCTAACCCTGGTATTTCAAATATGTATATAAACTTGTGTGTGTTTATATATATATATTGGGCTCAATTTCAACCACAGGAGCTAATTTTATGATGTTAGAGAAACTGCTCTGAGCTATCTATTTTCAAATTGTTTGTATAGCATTTTTTTTGAAAAAAAAAATATTAATGATAATGACATTTAAAATCAGTATTTGATATTTGGTTATTATGTGTCTTCATCTGAAGTTGGTATAGCACAAATTCTAAAATTTCTCCATTATGAAACGTAGATGTGAATGTATTTTTTAGAAAAAAAGATCTGATTTTTTTTCTTGCTATACTTTCCAGCTTCCATCCACCTCATTTTGAAAAGACATAGACCGGTTTTCTGATTAGGATCACTGTTTAGAAAGCAGAGTTTCTCTTTACAGTGAATAGCCATTACAGCATCTCTCATAGCTACTCGGAGAATGGAGTCACTGTCTTTCTGTATTGATGCAAATAAGAAGTTGGGAACACAGAAAAGGATAAAAGAAAGAAGAGGCATGGGACATGGAACAGTCACTAAGTGTGTTATAAATTGTGTTATATTTAAACCTGTGTCATCACAGGGCAGAGTCCTTCATGTGCTATCGCTAACTTTGTTCATCAGCATTATGTGAACTCAGCCAGACAAGCTGCATTAGTATGGCTTCAGATAATTTAAAAACTATCATTTGTTTAATGAGAAACTGTAACAATATGCATATATACTGAAATATAAAGCAAGGTTTGTAAAGAGAGCAAATGTCTTTATATCTGCTGATATAAGTAGACAAGCTTTCAACTGAAAAAATGATCATTTATAGTTTATGAAGTCTTAAGAGAAACATCATATTTTTGCAATATTTTATTGTTATCCAGGCACTAGCAAAATACTCAGTTGAAATACCTTTAAAACTCCTTTTAGTAATTTAATTTCATTAATGAACTTATTTTTTATACATAGTCAATTTTTTTAGCCTTTGTGATTTTTTCCTCTCCCTATTTCTGTTCTTCCCTTGCTTCTCATGCAGCCATTGCCCTGAGCCTGAGGATTATAGTGTTCCTTCAGATGATTGGTAAGCTCTAAAAGTCATCTAGTATGTGATGTTTGTTGAAGATTCAAGCTTAAAACCAGTGAGCGAGATTTTTTAGAAACAGAGCTAAATGTGAAATATTTTACTCAAGAGTTAGTTTAGCTTCAAATTGATGCAGACCAACAGTCTTACACAAATTTATGCCATCAGAAGTCTATGGCATTAGGTTCTGTACTGTGGAATAGAATTGCTAATAGGGTCACTGAGGTATAGTACAGTTAATCTGCTGACAATCCTGTACAATTCAGAATTGCTTATTGGAGAGAAAGTTTTGTCATTTATTAAGGTAGTTGGTATTATGGTAACTGATCATACTTTTCTTCTGTTACTTAGTAATAGGTTAGTAATAATCTCTAACATGTTTGGAAAAAAAATCCATATTTGAGATTGAAAAACATGTAATAAGTTATTGTTAAAATTTTACTTCCTACTGATGGTTTTCAAATATTAGTACTACCTAGTTCTTAACTGATACTGAGATTAAAGCACCCAAATACACTTGGGGCCAACATTAATCTTTTAACAGGGACCTCAGGAAAGACTAAGTCATGACTTCCTTTCTGCTGCCATCCTCATGATACCTTGTACTTCTTCATCATACTTTCTTAAACTAAATATTTGCAATACTGTTCAAAATAAGCTCAGATAGATCAGGGAAAAAATGTCATTTACAGCCTTTAAATTATCACTATTGTATTGGTTGAAAGTCACAGCAAGATATGTCACACAAAACTGTAATGTGTTGTCGTCTTTTGTTTAAAAATATTGACAGAAAAAACTTGCTTTGCTAAATTAGGATTGATAATTATTTCTTTTGATTAAAAAAAAAAAAATTAAAAATCCCCCCGACATACACATAAAAAGTGGCATACATACACACCCCAAAATCTTACATGACCTGAATATTCTCATTTGATGTAGCAGCAAGATGTTTCTTACGAAGATGTGCAAGTGTGCTTAACTGCGCACGAGTGGTTTCGTTAAAATAATGCAATGCTTACATGAAATTAAGTATGCTTACCTATAAGATATTTATGAAATAAGACTGGTTTTGACTACTACACATCAAAATCTTTATAAGCACATCTGAAATAGATAAACTGATGTCTGAACAGTAGTTAAAAAAACCCAGTACTTCCCTTTTGTAAGTGATGAACATCTTGTAACTAGTTATGAAATAAGATACTCAAGAAAATTTTTTGTGTGTAAATCTATTGTAATTAATAGAATCTGTTTATGATAGTAGTCATTTTAGGACTAGAAATGTTAATGTACTGAATTCCAAATCTTTTAAATCTTCGGGATTTTGTATTAGAGAGAATGTTTTCCAGTTTGACGCAAAATATATGTGCAAGTATTGTTCCTTTTTTTAGCACTGGGAATCTGGAAAATATCTTGAAGTCTTTCTACCAGAAATCTCTAAGCAAACAAAGCTTAAACTTTAGTCTCTAAACAAATTTAACGTACCTGAAGTTGTTAATATTTGGCATTTCAAGATCTATTTGCTTTTCATTTAAAGTAAAAGTCTTGGTGAATGCTTCAAATTTCTCACTTTATTAATAGGTTTTTAGAAAAACTAGTCCTTCAGTGGCTGTATAGAGGAGGTACTACCTCCTCCGTGGTAGTGCAGGACTAAAACAGCTCACTTCTGGTTTTCAGAGAGAATCTTTAGACTACCTTTGATGTATATGGCTTATCCTTCAACTTAAATCACTGAATGTGTTCACTCTCTTGTAAGATTATGTGATCCAAGGCAAGATCAAAAGTAAATGAAAAGAGAATGCTTTCCTGCAACTGGGTTTGCTTTTCAGCAGTGTTTTGTTTCACTGAGATTCAACTAGATTGTCTTAATACTCAACAATCAGCTGCAGTAACGAGTCTTACTAGAAGTATCTACATTCTTGAGTTCTCGACTTCAGCCAGAAGATCTGTGCAATTTGAGAGATGTTAGCATGTGAGTGTTTCTCAAGAGCCATCTCCATCTTGCATCTCTTCAAACCCTACTTCACCATTGTTGCTGTGTCTTCTTTGTCTGTCAGTTTACTAGATTCCTTTTTGGTCATCAGTAATAGAAAACAAACCCTCTCCACACAGAGTTCCCTGATGTCTGAACTCAGTTTGCTTACCTCTTTCAGATACCAAACTTCCTTTTCTGCAAACATTTGAAAACCTATTCCAAAATTCCTGATTTCTCAATGAAATGTGATCTCTTCTGACATATTTTTTTTTCCTGAGTTCCTTCTATAATCTCATTCTAGAGATCAGAAGGCAAGAAGCCACAGTCTTACACTGTAGCTTTATTTTTACTTCATCCTGCATTACCTGAAATCAGCAGAGAAACTTCCCTGGATTTAAGTGTATTTATATAAATCGAGGTTTCTTAAAATTAGATAAACTTTGGAGATGCGAAACAAGTACTTTTCCACTTCTTTTTCTCACAGTATGTGATTGCAGCCTTTATTGTAACAGGTACATACCAAAATTTGTGTTTGACCTTAGCACAGTACTGTGGATGATTTTTATAAGAATTATTAAGGATATGCTAATGATGATCTCTCTTCTACTTCATTCTTTCTAGGCAAGGCTCACAAAATGGAGAAGAAAAAATGTTCAGTGACTCATCATTACTGGAGAATCTTCAAAGCAATCATGTAAGTAATATAGAAACAATTACCATTATTTTATGACATCAAACCATTGTTTTCAGTAAGTCAAAAGATTATATCCTTTGAAGGAAAATAAATAAATTATGTATTTACACAAAATCGGCATGCCCTTATGAATACTTTTATAATCGTTTGTTGCTGCTACATGTTACGAGATCTAGCCCTTTTTTTTTTTTTTTTTGATGGTAAGATTCAGATGTTATGAGTCTGAAATAAAATAGTCTTATGTTCTTCATTCTGTGGGTGTTCTAATGTTAGTCGTGCTGTTCTTGTTATGACCTCCATCAAAACTTTCACGATCAGTGAAGTTAACTTCCTTTCATGATATGACCTAGTATTTCTCTGCCCAGGCTTAGACAGGAGTCGGAAGTTAACCACAGACATTGTTTTTGTGTACATGCTTCCATGAACTTAGATCATCAGTTCAGATGATGAAATGAAATAGGCTGTTAGCTGCCCCAAAGAGACAATGCATTTCACAGAAAGTTAATAGCTTAGTTCATGATTTGTCTAAGAAACAGTACCATCGTTACCTCTTTCTGTTTGTCACTTGTACAAGAGGTGTTTTTGCCTAGTCATAAGCAAGAACATCTACCTTAAATAGTGTAACTGTTTGTTCTTTTTTGAAGAGATGAATAAATTACTCTTTTCTTTCCTTAAATTTTTGTCTTCCCTGGAGGATAATTTCAGGGTAACTGGCAGATGGTGAAGTACTTTGTTCCTGTACATGGGGTAGTCTTAAATGCTAGGCACCTGAATGCCAGTCTCAAGCATATCTGAAGCAGAGAGGGCTCTTATACTTACCTGCATAGGCCAGTTTTATTTTCAGTGCTAGTAACACAGACTGCTTGGAGGAGACATCATCCTGTTATTGCTGTTGTCAAGGGAATCCTTGGTGTGCAAGTGGTTGAATTGTGAAAGTTTTCTGGTAGATTGTTGTATTAAGTATATATAGTACGAGCATGCAAGCTATAAAAATGCGTTTCTAGACATCTTAAAATTTAAAATTCAGGCACACGTTTAAAGAGAGGTTTCACCACTGTATGTTAAATGTGTTCTGAAGTGCTTTGAAAAGAATCTGTAATTCAGCCTTGTCAATAAGTCTTAGAGGATCTGGGGGCCCTCAGTGGAAGAGGACAGGAACATGCTGCCAGTAATGTTTCTGCACTATGGAATTAAATTAGGTTTTTTAGATATATTTCTATTTTGTGGAGTAATTGTAATGTATCTTCATTGTTGACATTCTTAGTCTGCTACTAATCTGAAATACTATAAATATGCTACAAAAAAACCAGTTGAGGTAGCAGCTGCTTTGAGTTTATTTAAAGGGAATGCTGGGGTTTCTTTTGAACCACGATTTAGGAGTCAGTTCATTCATTTTGCAATTTTAGCTGTGCTAATAAGGCTTTTAGCTGTATTCGTCAAAAATAATCAACTTTCTTGCTTATATACGCTCTTTTCCCCTCTTTTGGCTAAATAATTTAAAATTTTTTTAGCTTTGTAGTGCCTGAGAGAGTCATCTAAATCTCTTCCCTTAAAAGCTGTCTGCCTGACCTTGTAGCATTTTCCAGGTGATTTTCAGTTTCAGTTGCTGTATCTTTCTAAAGGCTCTTGAAAAGTGTTGTCAAATATAGTGTTAGACAAAAGTAATATAAAATGGAATATTTTTTTAGTAAAAAAGACAACATCCAGAAGACTTCAGTGAATAGAGTAAAATTCATTCAATACAGCATTCAGACTTACCCTCCCTATAAAATGCTTATTTGAATTATTCTGTGTATCTGATTATCTAATTTTGATTGTTATGGTAGCAAATGCCACTAAATTCTATCTATGTAGCCGGTATCGAAGTAGAGCAGCAAGAAGTTATTCTACATGCTGAAATTAGTGTACAGAACATGTCCGTTTTGTTTAATTGTTGATAGAGAGCAAAAATCTTTCATTAAATTTTTCTTGACTAGTATTTGTCCACATGTATTATTAAATTTCAGTTAGTTATTGCTTAAATAATTAATAGCACTCTGACATCTTTTTTTTCTCTTCTTTTTTCAGCCAACTGCACCTATAATATGTGAGTTTTTGACGATGATGGCAGTGTGTCATACAGCAGTTCCAGAAAGAGAGGGTGATAAAATTATATATCAAGCAGCATCTCCAGGTGAGACTCAAATAGCTGAGTGAACATATAGTAAAGTATTCTATCAACTCAACAAGCAAATTTTATTCAAAGTTTTTATTGTTTTTTGAAGTATCCTCCAAAATTAAAAAAGAAAATGTATCCCTCAAAAAAAAAAAAAAAATTTGGTGTCAGCTAAAATCAGTTTTGTCAAAAAAGGATTTAGACTTTTCTAATTTGCTTTAGAAAGTATGTATGAATGTCCTGTGGATTATGTAAGGGCGAAGGGTGATTAACCATACAGCATGCCTCAGGTGGTGTCAGATTGCTGTGGAAGTCTGAAGGAACTGCTCAAATTCAAATAGAAATCTAAGCAGGAGACAAATTGGTGTCCTTGCTTGTGAACCTATACTGTACTTGGGAACCATGGTATTGATTTAGAACAGAAGCTGTGTTTGTAATCAAAGATGAAAAAGAAATGTTTTTAATAGGATAAAAGTTGTGATAAGTTCTACTGGAGAGTCAGAAAAGATTTTAGTGCAAAAGGTCTGGTTCAAGCTTACTGTGGTTCATAGACAATGTTTGAATTCAGGAAACGGTGAAGCAAGGCAAAATGATTAAAATATGCTCAGCTCTTCAGAGCTAACATGTTATAACAAGTTATGATGGGAGAAATTACATGAAGCGCAGAGAATCTCCAACCTTCATCTTCCCTGTCTGTCCCAACTCCTAGGTGGCTATCTCTCTAAATTCTGTCCTTCAACAATTGGAAGACAAGGGCAGAGGTAGGACAATAAATAAAGCTAACTGGGCCATGGCAGTGGTTTATTGGGTATTGTGAGCAAATTCCATTCTGACATCCTGAGGCATTTAGAGAGAACTGATGCCTATAGGAGACTGGATTGCTGCTTGAAATGTGTCCTGAATGTAGGCGTTGAAGTTACCTACTATTTACATGAATGATTGCCACTCTTCTAAAACAGAACAACACAAAAAGAAAAGTACCTTGTCCAGTGCCTTACTGAGGAAGGTGCTTGCCTAGATACTTTGAAGAGGATGTTCTTGTTACTGAGCTGGGAGGCATGTTCCTTTGAGGGCTTATTTTCTCTGAACTATAAACTCATTTCATCAGTTTTAACAGGAGAAACAGAGAGTTCTTTTCAGCACCACATCTAATCTCAAAATCTATAAAGGAAAAAGGAAGTCAAAAGTAGAAAAACTTGCACTGTGTCCATTAAATTGTGGAGTAAACTAACAGTTTTCTGCTACCTCTGTAAAATGACTACTTGACTTGTTGCAGATGAAGGAGCATTGGTCAGAGCAGCCAGACATCTTCGTTTTGTGTTCACTGGAAGGACACCTGACTCAGTAATCATAGAGTCTGTAAGTACATTGGACTAACATTATAATTTGCTGTATTTACCCCTGCTGTATTAAATAATTTCTGAATAATTGCATCATGGTACATATCTGTTGAGATGTTGTTTGGCTGGGTCTGGTTCTTTTGCTTGAGGTTTTTTGCAATAATTCTCAAACTCTCACTTTTTTTTTTTTTAAAACTCTTCAGTTGGGACAGGAAGAGAGATATGAACTGCTAAACGTCCTGGAATTTACAAGGTAAACAGCATGTTGTGCACTTAATGTCTTTTTGTGAAAATACTTTATGAATTTCTTATGGATAAAAATGTTAGCATTTTTTTATATTTGTACAGGCAAAGTATGCAGGTTGTGTAGCTTTTATCTCTGTAATATGTGATCGTACTATAGGCAAAGCAGTGTATATGATTAAGATCGCACTTCTGGTTTTATTGTAAAACATTTTCAGAGGTACGTATTTTTTCCTGTTGTCTTCTCTTCGGCTAATGTTTTTCACTTTTGCTTTTGTGCAAAGTTTGAAAAAAACTTTGATGTCAAAACTTAAAAAAATTATGTGAAAAGACAGTATAGGAAAGTATTCAAACTTTTAAGTGTATTTCTGAAAGCCCTGGCACCATGTGATGTATTAAAAATTTGATATTTGGGATAAGGGGGAAGTTTCAAGTAAGTGTTATACATGACTTGTGTTTCCTTGACTAATAGAATAGAATCATGGGCTGGAAGGGACCTTTAGAGGTCAT